AAGTAGTCGAAATTACATTTAGATTTCGGTACGGACATGAATAATTATTGAACTTGTGTACGGTACATATCCTTTCGATGAAAAGCGCAACTTTCGTTTAGCCAATATGATATTTCATTACACAATTAATGTATGCCGTTTCGATTATTTTCTGTTTCGGTACCGGAACGACGAACGTGAATTCAACAACTCAATTGGATTATTTTATTGCATATTATATTGTAAACATAACGTATTTTCTTGTGAAAAAATAAACACATTGGACGATGGTTAAGTTTTTTCGAGGCAAAGGAAGGTAAAAACGAGATTTGAGACCGTTGATCGGAGCAGTACATGGAAGGAAAACACAATAGGGGTGTATCATATTTTATCAGATCGGTGAACAATAAGATATGATAGCAGTCGAAAGAGAAAAATTGTAATAACGATAGGAGGAACCAATGACCTACGAATATTTGAAAAAGGACAAAGATGTTCTTTTTTTCCAACCCCACGTAAATCTAATCAGATCCTAATTCCCATGAAATAAAAATAGATCTGCAAAAAATTATATACGTGTGTGGAGTGGACTAGATTATAGCATTTACAGATTAAGATCAATTCAAATTGATTAATGATGATCATACACAAAAGCATTACATGAAAGTATATTATGATATAATTTATTATTTTGTTCATTCATCGATACGTTCCATCATAATTTTTTTATAATTAATTTCAAACGTGACCCTGCTAGTTTTTAAATGCTGGGCTCTTACTTTGGTAGGTACATTTTGTACCACTATACCTCATAAAGTTAATACTTTTTGCGAACATTAAGCTAATACGTTGAATTATTTAATATAACAAACATTATAATTCAATATAAAATAGAAACCAATTAGGTTTAAAACTGTCATGAAATATATCTAAACGAATCATATATACCTTGCACAAGAACACATTAGCTTGTTATAAAAAAATGTTGTCGGTCGAGCTTAGATTATTATATTATTATTATGACGTAGTATTGTCATAAAACCAAATTTAGTTGCGGTTGTTAAATTTTATTGTAGTTATGAGTTAAACATACGATAATGTGGAGTATTTTAATACACATTTCAAATTAATGTAGACGTCTGAAAACAGTTTTATCACCAAACATTTGAAATACGACAAATTATTAATAGCTCGTAAATATTATTTTTTTCAATTAATTAATTTTTTAACTAAAATAAGGTGAAATTAAAATAATATATCCATAAATACTATGATCTTAAATCGAAAATCTTTTAGTTTTTATAAAAACTAGGATACTTAAAAAACCACGTGATATAATAGTGTATATATATATATATATATATATAAATTATATATGTAATATTATCATTAGAGGTTTTGGTTTTTCTTATAGCAAATATTCTGATGCGAAAATTTTAAGATGATGTTTTTAAAATACCCTATGTGTCCGATCTTTGATCTAAGTAAGATTGTTGTGCGGGTGAATTTTTATTGCTCGAGTATGTGTCAAAACCAATGCATTATTGTCTCAACTCTAAATCTCAAATGTGGTGTTTAAAGTAAAATTAGCGTTAAATGTTTAATATATGTGTGAAATTGGTGCACACAACTTCAGAAACGACATAACGAATGAAAAAAAATAAAAATGTTTTAAAAAAAAAAAAAACTCAACTCATCAATGTAAAACCAAAAGCTTATTTTGCACGAAAATTTAAAATTCAAATTACTTCTATAACTAAAAAAATAATTTTTTTTCTTTTTTATAATAATCCATTTATTTAAATCATACACTTGACAACCAAATTTTAGTAGTACTAATACTTCCTTTCAAAATTCTTCTTCATCGTTTATATTGAAGATGAAAAAAAGTTTTGAACAACGCAGCCAACGTATAACGTAGCCAAAGTTTAAATCCTAAAAAGACACTATACCGCCAAATAAATGCCATTTGGATTTTATTTTCATCTAATCCGCTATAAATAAAAAAGTCTATCCTCGAGTTAAAAACAAATAAAAAACCAGAATGTGCTAATATTGCAAATAATTTTGTAGAATATTTTAAAGCCTTTTGAAACATAAAAACCAATAAGTACCAATAATAAAACCCTACATATACAATATAATTAGATATATTAATTCCATAAATGTATAATATTTAATTATGGATCAGTCACCGGATTTTAAAATGTTTGAAACATTATTTGGATATATAATAATCACTAAGTACATTGGATTTCAGTTTTTTGTATATATTCTTTGATTTAATTTGTTTATTTTATTCGTTTGCCAACAAATAATATAATTCTGTAGATTTTTTATAATGTACTATTAATATTGTTGTTTTAACCCACTGACATGTCTACATTTCTGCAGTTTTTATTAAAACACGTCATGATATTACATTATTATATAAAACATTATGAGAATTAAAAATGCAATACATTTATATTGAAATAACATTAATCCAAATGAATACCAAACTGTACATAAGTGATCGAATAGTTATAGTTTTTAATTTAAAATATTTAAAAAATTACGAAAATAACATTTTTTAAACAACCCTTATTTGATTTTTATATTTCAAATTGTATATTTTTTTTTTACTTTTATTGAGCTTTTTATCATTGTACTCGGTTATGTATGCTAAATGTAAATTATTTTATATTCAAATTTATATGTAGCCACTTAATTATTTTATATAATTAAAATTTAAAGAGTAGATAAGTTAATAAATAAATAAAATAAACGTGAACAAATAATTCAAATTTTTTGACATTCAGAGAGTTATACTAAATTTAAATTTAGTTTACTCTCGTAAACACTCTAAGTTCATGCCAATGTCATTCGTTTCCAGGCTACATGAGCGAATAGTTTTGATCGACATTCCTTAACGGCTAAACTTCTCAGAAACTTTAGTAGCCCCAAAGAACATCATACAAGTGCTCTCATAAACTATACAAATACTTATTGAAACCTACGAGTCTATAAAATTAGAACTGTCATACTTTTTCCACAAATTCTACATCAACGTCGAGTAAGTACTATACCAGTTTTCATTTTAAATTTGTTTAAAGTTAAAACGCTAATCCGATGGGGAGAAGGTCGTATTATATATGTATACTCACTTCATTTTTATATAAATATTTTATTAATTTGTCCAAAAATTAATCATGTGTAAAATTATATGTATAAACATTTTGTAAAATAAAAAACAAAATAACTTAAAATATATGTTATAAATTTAACTAAATTGAATTTTAATATTTTTCAAATCTGATCTAAATTGACATAACAAGATTACAATTTAATCGTTCGACGGGTGCGACGGCTGAGTGTTGAATAATGTAACAAAATTCGATTTTCAGTTTATCGCTGCTAATCTAAGCACGTTTTTCGAATAGCCGAAACTATTACTAATTATTATTACCAATAATAGATATCTAAATATCGTAAACGTCGTAATTTCAGGAAAACTATAAATACCTAAATAGCCGTCACGAAATTAAAATATTCGGACACATATAATTGATTTCATTAAATTTATATATAGGTAAATATCCGCATATAAAAATCGTAAACAACTATTCAAAACCTGAGCTTTCCAAGTGAAAAACATATTCTTTCTAAAATCGGGACGTGGTTGATGTTTAGACCTCCCACCAAGATTCCCCCTCCGTAAAACAACCAATGATTGTATATTATTGTTATACAATAAAAATGAATTGATACTTATGTACGCTATGGAATTTTTATTTTAAAATTAGTTCATTTTCTAAATTAATTATAAATTTTAAATTGTTTGATACCTTGTAGGCTTGCTTTGAGCCGGTATTAGGGGATCGCAATATCCTCCCACAATGAATGAATTATTTATTTAGTCAGCAAATTTTTATATTTATAATTTCACTCCCTTCAATATTTGTTAATAACACCGGCTTTGTGCTTGCTCATAAGTCAGAAAATGTACTTTTGTACAATTATTCAATAAATTGAAAGTAGTTTGATACCTACGCTACTCTGTGAACATTTTACATTTTTGTATAAATATCTTAAATATAATCAAATTATAATCAATAACCTATTATAGGATTCGAGTGTTAATGAGTTCAATTATTATACGCTTTTTATATTAGACTATTTTGTTTTCAATTGGCAAATTTGTTAAATTTTCCACTTAATGCTATTCGCTATAAACTAATAAGATAATTAATAATTAATTAAATTATTGAGTAATTAAAATAAAGTAAACAATTTCTAAAATTATATTTTCCTGTAACACGTAATCATACATAAATACTTGCGTGAGCATGTGCATATGTGTACCTACAGGTATGTATGTGTATTTGTGTGAGATAGTGAAGCTTTGTTTGAAATCGGTTTTTTCTCAAGACAATAACTTTAATATTATATTGTTGTTAAAACTACTATTGTTGTCAAAATATCATACACAATACAATATGACTATAAAAGCTATAAAAAGTTAATGGTGTTTCAATATAAAAATTATTTTAGTTTATGTGTATCATATTATAACACTTCTATAAATATTCATCGTATTACTAAATACTGCAGTATCATATACAGTACTGTTTAAATTTGCATTCTTTTTAATTAAATATAAAATTGTATAGTCAATTAAAATATTACAAAATACTATAGTCATTGCTTTTATACTTTTATATACACAATAATATAATAGTAATGACTTTAATATCTAGATTAACTAGTAGTAAGTTTATAGGTCCATGGCATAGGTTCTTAACCAGGGATCCACGGGGTGGCTGTGAGTTTTTTTTTAAATAAGCCAAAAATAAATTTGTTTCGATAGCGTTTTTAATACAACAGTAATAGTTGTTGAAAGTCTTGAAATCCACATGAAACACATTTTTTTTTTTTTAAGGGAGGGTGGCTCCGTGATTAGATTTCATGCTTAGAAGTCCATGTCCCAGAAAAGGTTAAGAATCTATGGTCTATGGAGAAAACGGTAACGTATAACTGACCTTCGGCTGTCGGGCAGGATCGGTGACGGCCGCTTGGCGCCGCGGGTACGGGTAGAAATCGTCGGCGTACACGATGTTGCGGACGGCGCCGCTGAACCGCGGCTCGAATATGACGCTGGGCAGCGCGAGCCGCGTGAGCCGCCCGTTGTACCATCCGGGCATGCCGCCCACGTACACGGCCGAGTTGGACGCGAGCCGTCCGAACTGCAGCTCCTTGCCGGCGGACGTGGCCGTGCTGGTCGCGTTGTCCACGGACAGCGCGGTCACGCGGCCACGGCGTTCCACGGTCACGCGGTGCCACCGGCCGTCGTACAGGTCGTGACCGGCCATCAGTATCTGCGCGCCGGCGCCCAGGTTGTACCGCAGCCGCATCGTGCCCTCCACCATCTTGAGCTCGAAGAAGTCGTAGGTGCCGCCGTCGTCGGTGTACATTAGCAGCCCGTTCGGCGACCGCGTCTTGAACTCCATCTCCAGCGTGCCGTTCACGCCCGCGTTCCACTTGCGGAACTGGCCGTACGTGCCGTCCAGCACCAGGCCGCCGGCCGGGCCCAACACCGCGGCCAGCCACCACGCGACGACGACGGCCGCCGCCGCCGCCGACGCCGCCGCCGATGTCCCGTCGGCCATCGTCTCGACACTGTCACCACTGGACCTCCCGTTACTGTCGTCGTGGTCGTCGCTAGTGTTGGTGACGGTGGGCGGTGGTGGCGATGGCGATCGGCTTCTAGGCACTAGCGGTCTGCCGG